GTTACTTTAGGTGTTGGATATCCATCAATCTTTGTTTCGAATACAGCTGTTTCACCTTGTTTTACTTCTTGTGTTGTAGGTTTAGCAACAAATACAGGTGATTCTATGATACAAGTGTTTTTCATAATAAATATGTGAACATAAATTTTACTTACTAGTAACAGCGACTTTGCATTTTTTCGATTTAAGTGATCCACCAACATTGGTAATTTTAGCTGAATAATCTCCTTGATCTTCAGGTTGGACATTCAAGATAGTTAATGTATATGTGTCATCTTCTTCAGCTGTTGGAGCAATTATTTGAATTCGATCACTTGGAACAAGTTCATCATTACCTCGCATCCAGACGACTTCTGGTTTAGGTGTACCAGTAGCTGATAGTTTGATTGTCATTGATTCACCTTTAGTCGCATGTGTAGTAGCTTCGAGATCAGTTGTCAAGACAGGTTTCACTCCAGCAATGTTTAATGTTGTTTTAGCTTCGACTTCACCAACTGCATTTGTTGCTTTAGCAGTATAAGTACCTTTATCATTAAGTTCAGCATGTCGAATAGATAATGTTGATGTTCCATCTTCAGTTTCAGTAATTTCGAATCGTTCATTTGTAGGTAATGGTTGTCCATTGAAGAGCCAAGTAACTTGTGGTTTTTCGAGACCACTAAATTTCCATGATATTTGTGTATCTTGACCAATGACACATGTTTGATCATTAGCTGGTTTAGCAGCTTCAACTTTTGGTTTGACTGAAAAAAAAGAGAAGTAAAGTATCGTCAATTTTAAGGGGAAGAATTGTACCTCCAACATGGAGTTTAGCAGTTTGTTCAGAATGATCAATACCATTGTCGATAAGTACACGATATGTACCGACATCAGGATGATCACATTTATTAACAGTGAGTGAAAATACATTTTGTTTAGCTTCAATCTTATGTTTAGGAGAGTTTTTCAGTTCGGTGTCGTTGAAGAACCTATTGGAAGTAGAAACCAGATAACTATCATGCCTCTTACGGATGTTGAGATAGTGATCCTACCATGCGACTTTCGGTGTTGGAAAAGCGTCACACATGATTGAGAGAGTTCCGTTTTGACCAAGAAGTGTGTTGATATCAGTTAGAGATTGTGTAATGTTTAACGGAGCTAAAAATAAAATGTTAGTGTTGAGTGTGTTATTTTGCGGTTTAGTTTACTAGTTTTTGTTGTCTTTTGAATTATGGATTGTCGTAATGTTTCATGAGAAAGAATTAAATCGTGATCTGTGTCATTTTTTTTAAAGGACTGATCTTGCAGTCTAGAGCTTGATCTATCGTTATAGTATCCTATTTGAGACTAATACGCAAGAGTTGATATTGATACACAGTTAAGGATTTTTTTTTTACATTGCTCTGTTATATTTTATATTTAAAAGAGCTTTGATATAGGTTCTGTCGTAACTTTTTCTCTCGATCTTCGTCTTTTTTCTTTGATTCGGTACGGTATTGAGACTTCGTTAATTAATCTGCTCTCGAACTTACTAAATGATTTTGGCGTCTGAGCGCATTTTGCAAGGTGTTTGGAGTTAACTGTGTCATAAAATATTGAAATTTCCTTTTCAAACAAAGTAAGTTTGTTTCCTGTAGAAAGACTCATTAGTAGAATTGTATCATAGAAAAACGTTCGTTCCCTCTACAGAACTGTCGATACTATGTAATTTCAACTGATAGGAAATTTCTTGGCTGGACTAGTGGAACCTTTACTGCAAATGTTGTTAAATTTGTCGCTTTTTTATGTAAATGAGTATGCTTAAATGAATGTCAATGTTGAAATTCTAAGAGAAAACAATTTCGCTGACATTTTACTCATTAAATCGACTAGTCAACATATTTTACTTATCAAGCTAGAGGCACTAGTACGTATGCAATATACGCAAAAAATTGTATCCATATTATAAGAATATACATCTATCTCTCTTAAGTAATCTAATTTATCTTTCATAAATCTATCCATCTCTATTCGCTCAACACAAATGTATCATATAGCAGGAATTTCAATTACGTGAGTATTCCTACACCGGATTATCCGATCAACAAAGAAGTCTCATAGAGTTTTTCTGAAAACACTGCAAATTTTCACTGGTTATTTATTAATATCATTAAGAAACAAAGACATAATTCGGCAAAAATTCAGAGGCCCTCTCACAAGGAACGAAAGCTCAAACTTGCATATAGTATATTTGATGATAACATCTTCGAGAAAATACTAAGCAATCTAAATTCTTTCGAGATGGCTTACAAAGTCAGCTAGAAATTACCTGTAACGTTAAGGGTTACATTCGTTTCTTCTGTTGACAATTTGTTCTTTGCAGTTAATTTGTATACACCTTGATGCTCTGGTCTCACTTCAGCAATCGAATATACATGTCGTGTACCTTCCACACTTGTGAATTTTACTTCTTTACCATCCTTTGTCAATTGTACTTTAGGTGCTTCTTT